CCAGCGCCTCCGTACCACTTTCCCTAATCAAGGCCTGGGCCTACAATTGGTGGAGACTACTACAAGCCTCTTCTGCGGAGCCATCCCTCGGCTAACCTTAGCCTTTTTGGGGGGAAGGATTCAGGGCTTGGCCAAAGTGTTCCGGCTAACTACATCAGCGTTCTAAACTGCTGCTACTTTATCCGTTTTCATGTGCATATTCTTCGAAACCCCCCACTTCCTGGATGGTTCACTCACCACGACGACGAATTAATTTCGTCAAGTGCAGCGTGTAGTCTGCGACTACGTAATGCTTTACATTAGGCGCACAATTCACAAGTTCAAATTCAGTGCGGAGTTCTTGTTGCGGGTTACGAATTGTTCTTGATAAGTTTTGCGTGCGTTGTCTTTGGCCAAAATGTTATGGAATTCTAGGTGATGCCAAAATTCTAATTTGATTCGTGATTGGCGTTATCGTGCTATTTTTTATTAAGTGGTCTCGTTTTCGTTTGTTTGGTACTTTTTTGCAGGAAGTGAACTGGAACAGCGGTCCGGTACGTTTCTTAGATGGTTTCTGATTGGCGATCAATTCGAGCCGATTTGGGTAGGTTCGCTGGTGTGGTCATACTTGTACAGCGTAGTATTCACAAGTTCTTTTGAGTGTCAAAGCGATTCGCGTTCCTGGGTAAATACCCTCCATGTCCCTATTACAGACAACTTCAGGATGACGTTAGTTTCCTTCTGTTTTTCCTTGTATCTGTCAACTCTTAACTACATATCATTTGTCGCGTTTAGTTTGTTGCGTTGCTGAACGTTTCACCTGAAGAACAAGAGCATTTTATGAATGATGAAGTCCGGATGTTCCTCGCAGTGAGTTCACCTTCCAATATCTAAGTTTTTCACGTCTTCTTCGCCGAGTTTTCTAGAGTTTTCTGTCAGAACTGGGTAAACATCATTCGGTAGTGCTTTAGCGGCTCATGACGACTCCTTTATGTGCGTTCATAGTTCGCGGTTCAGTTGATTGTAGAGAGTGCGTCGCTAGCGTCGAGGGTGCAACCAAGGGCGTTTCGAGAATAGTAAAAAGGTCTACTATTCCGAATAAGATCGAAGTAGCCGTCGCAGCGTTCCAAGGCATTGTTCACAGTCTGCGGCCCAGCGTTTCTCTAAAAAGAAGCGCTTCGGCGAAAAGCTTTCGATACGTATCGATTGGCGGTTGGGCGAAGAGTCTGGCGGTTGCGCGAAATGGTTTTGATACGTATCGACGGAGCGGTTGGGCGAAAAACGCTAGCCCGACCGCCCTGGCGTTTTTCTCTAGGGCGGAGCCAGCGAAATCGATACGCATCTATTGCTTTTCGCCGAACCGCTGTTTCGTCAGGTGTCGCAGACTGTGAACAATGTCTAACGTTTGGCGGTGGGGCCGCGCGGTGCGCGTCGCTCGCTGCGGGCTGATTGGCGGAGTCAAATGTAGCTCGTTCATACCTTGCGAACTGCACAGTCGCAATTCAGTTCGCAGTTCTAAAGATTCTCGGCTTTTCGCAAGTATGAAAACGCTCCAGCGAGTGTCAGAAATCATGCTTAGAGCGATGACGGTAAAGTTATGCTAAGCTTTTGCGAAAGTAGGGGTCCTTGGCTGTAGCACCTTGAGCATTGCACGGAGAAGTATTTCCTACTACGGCCAACATTTAGGGGGGACTTCAGCTCACATCTCGTCACTGATAACCTTGTAACACGATTTGAGCGTGTACTGTAGTAAAAGAGCGAGCTGAACAATATTCAGCACATCTGCTATTCGGTAAGGGAAAGCGCTCAAATCATCTTGAATCGCCGCAGCTTCTTTTAGAGTTTTCGCACTTTCTTAACTTAATTGATTACTAAGGCTTATTTTTTCGTATAGGGTTATGAAACGGAGAACATTCGCTTCGTCTATGGATCCGATAATGATGCTCCAATCAGCATAAAAGTGAATCCTTCATTGGATCCGTTCATGAGGTATGCCCGTAGCCGTCCTTGGAGGCTCATAAGAAATATCTTAAGCATACAGTCCACGATTGTTCCCTTGGGTAGAATACCTTTTTTGCGCAAAAAAACCTAGGCCGCAGTTGTAAAGTATGTGCCCTTTTTGAATGAGTGGCAGGGCCGCCAGAGACCGGCTGAGGTCAGGCTGCACCCACGTAGGTCACCCTTCACACTCCTTATGTCGTTTTGCTGTCCAGACATGGCGGTGCGGAAGGACTCGTCTTGTACTCTTCCCCTATTCCTTCCTTTTCCTCGGTGTTTCTTCATCTCATACTGATGGAATCTTTACCAATCTTTACCACTATCAATCAAAGAATTTTCGACGGTTTCTCTTGCTTTTTTCCTCTATCTGTAGCTCAGTACGTTACCAAACATCCTTTCTTTTGCGAATCGTTTTGCATACGATGTTTGGTCGCAGACTGTGTTCTTAAAACCCACGCTTTGTGCGGCGCAGTGTGTGCGGTTATTTTTCGCAGGATCTTCGTTTTGAGCTGCGTTCATACTTTGCGTCTGCGTTTGTGAACGTACGGCAGCGTTTTGGGCGTTTTCAGCGGTTGCCTGCGAAACACTCGAAATGCTGGCGTGTGCTCAAAACGCTAGATCGATATCAGTACCTTCTTGGTCGCTCAGCACCGTACGCAGCTCAAAAGCTAAGAACAAGGTGTTAGCGTATTCTCAGCGTTACTTTCAGATCGGCCGTGGAAAGGTTTAAGAAAATTTTCATAGATATCTGGTATGTTCGCGTATATGGATATGGTAAGGCTTTATTGTCAGCATTATGTATTATTTTCTGTTATTTTTTTGCCTCTTCATGAAAAACAATGTGTTACCAGCCAATTCTAGCCTTGAAGCACGACTATTCATTTTCACTCACTACAAGGGCTGTGGCCGAAGAAATCGTCAAACGATTGAACAAGCTTGTCTGCCCCATCATCGAAGCCGATACATATGATGTAAGGTTACTGTTT